CACATAATTCCATATTTTCATAATACATATTTAATAGTCAGACCACTTAATTTAAAAAACACAGATCACGATGAAACAGCAAATGAGATACGATAGAAGGAATAATTATACGATTTTAAGATGTAACGTTAAAAGCCAGATTCGAAATTTAATTACGAATTGCGACTATATGAAGTCGTATGCAAATCAAGATTTAAATGCTTTAAGAACACGTAGCAAGAAAGTTTCGGTCGTCGTATATCTCTATGTATGCGCCTGCTGGCGTAAGTGAGTGGCATGAAGGACGGATTAGGAATAGGCAAATGGAGAGTTAGCGCATACAAGAATAATTAGCTGCAGTGATATATCTGTTGTTTATATGTGTTATGCGGGGCTAGATGCTGAAGGAGAAGGTGGATGTTCTTCTCACACCGAAGGCTGCGACGGTTCGACAGGTACGTCTCTGCCTTCAGGTAGACACGTGTAGAGTCACATAGGACGTACTTTTAGACGCATGAAGTACAGACTGGATCCATGCTTCTAACACACGCATCAGTACAGAGAGAAGATAAAAAACGGGACAATCGTTTTTCAGCGATTTATGAAAACGGGCGCACAAAAGCTTTTACTTTTAAGTTCATTTTATACATGAAATTTATTCTCGTAATTTTATAATATGAATGTACGGACGATACTTATTGTCAGTATCCTCATATTTGATAAAACACTTGTGTTAATATTTACGAAGTATTTACGAAGAATTGTGTAATACATTTAAGTTTTTAACTTGCAATTAGCAAATGACTTGATACCATTAACAAAATTATCTGAATAAGAAGTTCCGAGAGCTATGTTATTGCTGGTGTACGTAATGAATGTATTACGCTTATTAGACATTGAATAAATATTCATACAATACATATACTAGGCAAAAAGTACATCTATAACAATTTTACTATAAAATAAACTTTGTATTTTTTTGATATAGATCTTTATAAAACTGTATTATTAACTTACACAATTGTAAAAATATCTCACGCAATGCATGAAAATGAAATGAATGCCATTATGTGAATTCTTCATAATTGATATAAACAGTATGGAATTAAGTATCAATAACAAAAAAGCTTTAAAAGTTTGTAATTTCCAAATTTGTCTAAATGAAAAATTTTGTTTCTAAAAGAAAAACGTTGCGAAATATTTCGAGAGAGCATCATACAGATTATAATTTATTAATATAAGTACTGTGGTATATTCTGCATTATAAATTAATAGATGCTTTTACACATGCGTGCTTTAATGCATGTGTTCGCTGCAAAACATTCAACGCACACTTATGCTTATTTCGCACGATTTCACTTGCAAGCGTACGCGGCAGCACGATTACAATCGGGGCTTATAATATATAATTAATTGATTGTTCTAAATGTTATATAGCGAGTAATGATACTTTTGAGAATATCTTGCCAAAAATCTCAGAAACGATATTTTCATTCTCATTCTTGATTCTGAAATATAAATCTTTTCTTTTTATATACGTATTTTTATCTATCTTCAATTGTCTAGATATTTTGACAAGATATCGCGGTTTACACAATCACGCGAGCTATCATCCGCAGCTTCGATATATTGTAGTCCTACACGAATCTCCCTAATATATATATTTTAGTATACAGTAGTATTGTATTTTTGTGATCGCGAAAATAATATTCACGAGGCAATTCACCATGGTTCCCTTATTATGTCACTTATTTAACAACTCACGCATCAATTAATCATCGACTTTACGTTATCATCTTGTGACCTGCTGGAACACCCCTTTCAATAGGACTTCCCCAAGTGCCTTTGGGCATGGCTTCCTTCAAACTGGCTGATTGAATGAAATTCTTTTTATAATTAATAGATAAGATTTTGCTTGATCCAGGAACCAATATTCGCAGAGTAGTTTATCACTTCGTGTTAGCATTAATTTTCAAGATGCTCCGGAGGGTTGCTAATATTAAGTGCACACGTCGATGCGTACTATATTTCCAATAGGTTAACATACTATGTTGGGTGAAACATGTTTCGGAGAAGTAATATTAGGAAATATTTTAGCGACGTGAACGACCCTCTTTGTGCAATTACGGAAAATATCTGTCGTGCCTCATTATATTTTAGCGATATAAACCAGAGAACTTTATTAATAGATAATTACAACTTGCATCATAAAGAATTTACCATTATTGGCTGGCATAATTTCTGATAGATTTACACATTCGTATACACATTTGAATTTTGCGAACCAATTTCGTTGCAACGGTTACGTCATTGTGATCGTACTTTAAGATCAATTTAGCGGTCGTTCATCGACACTATAAAGGCACGTAACTTGTTAGTTAGCACGGATAATGGATTCCGTAACATGACACTTGCACAGTAATTTGCAAGTTTACACCGGGTTTCCGAAAAGAAATAGCTTCATCTTCGGTTTCACGGCATTTATATATATATCAACAATCTTTTCTGCTTGCAGTAAATTGCTCAATATTCGGCCGGAAAAAGAAGCAATACAAGGATAAATATCTTGCAAAGCACAACGCTGTTTTCGACCAGCTGGACCTGGTGACCTACGAAGAGGTCGTGAAGCTTCCTTGTGAGTTTTAGTTGCAGTTCTAAAAAAATCTAAATAAACATAAGAATAATTTGTAATATAAAAAATATAATTCTTATTTTTCTATACACTACACAGTTTAATACCAAATTCTTTTCGAAATGCCGTAGTACATATCCCGAAGATTTTTTGCGCTCAACATGCTCTCGACCAAATTTGTGTGACATGTCAGGATTTTGAATAAATCGGGGTAAAAATTTATTTTCCCCTCAATTTATTCAAAATTCTGACATGCCATGCAAATTCTGTCAATGACATCATGTTCAGCACGAGGAAAATCTTCGGAATATGTACTATAACACTTCGGCGAAAAAGTGATTTTTAATCGAAATCTGTGTTATCAGTGATAATTCTATTATTAAAATGTCTCAAAATTTATATTAAATACAATTAGAGCTATAATTTAATACGTTTTATAACATTTATATAGGAAATAAATAATTATTGATTTTGAATATTATATATTACTTTTCTTTGCATATAGATCCTGCCTTCCAACGGAAAACTTTAGTATTATTGGGAGCACATGGTGTCGGTCGACGACACATAAAAAATACGATTATTTCCAAGCATCCTGATAAATATGCCTATCCTATTCCGCGTAAGTATTCCAAATTTTTTAATATAATTCTGAATTAATTAAATGTTATTTTTAAAAATGTGTAAAATTAAAAATGATATATTTATTGGAAGACTTATATTAATATGTATATAATATATAAATATGTTTTTTTATAGATACAACGAGGCCTCCACGAAGTGACGAAGAAAATGGTCGTAATTACTATTTCGTATCGCATGATGAAATGATGGCAGATATAGCTGCTAATGAATACCTCGAATACGGTAAATCATGTCTATGCAAATTTTTATTTAATTTATTAAAATTAGTTAATTTATTAATAATTGAATTTATTAATTTTTTAATTTTAGAATTAATAATTAATAGAAGAATATTAATTATTATTAATTGTTAGAATTATTAATTTAAAAGTATAGATAATAAGTT